ATACTTTGTTTTTATACTAAAATTTAATTTTTGCATATTTTATATAAATTTTTATTAAGCGAAACAAAAATGTTCGAAGTTAAGAATTACTTTCGTTGATTAAAAATCATTGAATTAAATAATAAATATTAATATAACATTATTATTTAACAGTGTTATATTAATAATGTTAGAATTTTGAGAAGTATTTATATTATATAATTAAAAATAAAATGATAATTGACGAATATATTTCTATCACATTAGAGGAAATTTCCGAAAATTCAGAGTTTAATAAAGTTTCGTTATTTGTTCAAATATATGCGATATATGGAAATAAATGGTAACTCATAGATGTAGTATAAAACTAGACTATGAACAATATGTAGCATTCAGAGGCTAGACCCAGACGGGAATTATACAGCTGAATACTACCGAAATTATATATTCAAATGAAATTATAATTAAATAGATTCAATTATTTAAAAATTGCCCTAGGAAATATTGATACTTCTCTAGGGCGGCGACATTTTTTTGAACACTAATTCAAATTGGCTGCAGACGCTTTAGGTACTTATTTTTCTTAGAAATAAATAACCAAAAAAGTGCTGTCCTGGAGCAGAAAAGTGGACAATTTTATTGGCTTTGTTAGTAAATGAACAGCGTGGGAAGCGCGTTGCTCATAAGTGTCGAATTTCTTAAGATGGAGTTTACATAATAGCTTCAATTAATGCCATTTATATTTAATATATAATAGATCTTCAGGTGTATGAAAGTTTGTGTAATATATTACTTAATATTTACCTCTTTTTGACAACTTTTAGATAGTTGAACGCGGATATTTATAAGTTTATACCATGAACCAGTTATATCTAATTCTAAAAAATTTTATATATATATTTTTTTGATATTTACTGATGTAATACAATATTTACCTCTTTTTGAGATTCCTTTGTATCTTTAAGGCAACTTTTAGATAGTAGAACGCGGATATTTATAAGTTTATACCATGCACCCAAGTTCAGTGTATTATATCAAAACCCTGTCCACAGGTCTATACTAGTACAAAACAGTTACATCTAATTCTAAAAAATTTTATATATATATTTCTACTACTACATTTCTACTAGTACACAATAGTTATATCTAATTTCAAAAAATTTTATATATATTTTTTTTGACATTTACAATATTTTACCTCCTCTGGGACTCCTCCTTTTTATACCCTAAACCTGTTTTCAGTATATTATATAAGAGTCCTGTCCATAGGTCTCTACTAGTACAAAGCAGTAATATCTAATATCAAAAAATTATATATATTTTTTTTTGACGTTTAATTGAAAATTAAAAATTTTTAAGTAAAATTATAGAATGGGTATCCACATATCTTAATTTACTTATAAAAATAGTCATTTATGTGAGTGTGTATCAATATACCTGTAAATTAAATGGTAATTTTAACAAATTTCTTTTCACTAAACAAAATCTAATCAAAGTTATTTGCGAAGATTTTCAACAAAAAGGCCATTAGGTTTTAAAATTTGTCCAAATTACTCCAGCTTTGTATATAAAAGCTTACAATTTTCGTGGAAAAACTATGAAAATTGATTGACTTAATCGATTTGAATTGAAGATTAATTTATTTCTTACTTCAAGACTTTGTTGTTTCTATTAATATAAGTTAGTTATTGCAAATGAAAGAGTTTTTAAGTGGCTGAAAGCTGTTCGAAAGTTCTAAGAGAGCTTCAGTTTGTTTAAATAAACATGACTTAATATTCATTACAAAAAAAAAAAATTAAATATATAATTGGTATATTTTTATATATATATTTTTTATATCTATTACATAAAATCAATAAAAACAAAGATTTTAAAATCTTTGGACCGCATTATCACCTTAATAAAATAGGTCTATCCGAAGAGATGGAGTGTCGACTCTGCTCAAAAGCAGACGAGACTTCCAGTCACATTCTCTGTGACTGCCCAGCCTTGATCTGGGCCAAGAGGAGGTCACTGGGAGGAGAGCTGCTCTCCTCTTCTGACATTAGGAGGTATTCAGCGGACGACATTCTGGTCTTCATTCGGAAAGCGGTATCTCTTCTGTTCGGTTAGGCTCGGTTGCAGCACAAAAGATCAATCTGGTCGCAGTGCTCTGCGCCGTCGGGAGCTAGTACCTCTTTTATTCCTGTCATATTCTATTACGTTGAAACGTTCTTGATTTTACTTAGTATTTAATGTAAATACTAGTTTCCCATTAAATGAAAAAGTAAAAAAAATAAATTTTATTTTTAACCTTTTGCACATACCTACTTCCTTTAATATACGACTATGTTTCTGATATGCGTTTTTTCTCTGTACGTAAGAAGGAAGTAATGAATATTTCCATTTAACAGTATTGTGAGTAATGTGAAAAATTTCTTTTCATTATCGTAACAATAAATACTGCATTACATTAAAAAAAAAAACAAAAAAAACCAAAAAAAAAAAAAGAAAAAAACAAAGGCACCCACGACAATATGGACGAAAACACACTCATATCCATACAATACTTTACAAAAGCTGTAGTACGAAAAATATTTATTTGCATATCATAACAAGGTGATGCAAGAAGGAGGACGAAGGAGCGGATGAGATTAACATCGAAACAATAGCTGTCACAGTTAACACAGCCGTAAACAATTTCATTTACAAATTACATGCAACGGTGGCTCCTACTAGTGTGAGTAGGTGCGACACACGTTCAACTCGAACTCAAAATATTGGCGTGTGTATGCAATGTTCTGTGGTATAGTTTAGTGTTTGTTTTTGTGATTGTTTCTAATATCAGGCATTTGCTAAAACTAGAAGATGCGAATAAAAACTAATTTTTAGCAAATTTAAGACACTTCTCTCTCATAGAAACAATTAAGGATAGAATAAGGAGACTAGAACGATAACTAAGACCACATGAATCGACCAAAGATAAATTTAATTTATTTAAATTTGATTTAACCTAATTTATTTAATTTATTTTAAATTAATTTAAATAAATTTAATTTAATTTAATTCAATATAACTTGATATAATATAAACTAATTTGATTCAATTCAACTTGATTTAATATGATTTAATCCATTTTAATTTAATCCAATTTAATTTAATTTAATTTAATTTAATTTAATTTAATTTAATTTAATTTAATTTAATTTAATTTAATTTAATTTAATTAATTAATTTAATGTAATTTAATTAATTTATTTTATTTTAATTTATTTAATTTAATTTGAATTTAATTTATTTAATTTAATTTAATTTATTTTATTATTTAATTTAATTTAATTTAATTTAATTTAATTTTAATTTAATTTATATTTATTATTTAATTTAATTTATTATTTAATTTAATTTAATTTAATTTAATTTAATTTAATTTAATTTAATTTAATTTATATTTAAATTTAATTTAATTTAATTTAATTTAATTTAATTTAATTTAATTTAATTTAATTTAATTTAATTTAATTTAATTTAATTTAATTTAACACCCAGCGATGATATGCAAACATTTCTAAATAAGTTAGAGGGAATTGAAGATAAAATCTTACAGGTCGACGGTTCATTCACCGCAGGTGGCGACTTTAACTCCAGGGCAATAGAATGGGGGATGGGAACTACAAACTCAATGGGAAGTCGAGTTTTAGAATTGACTGTCAGGCAACGTCTTATAGTCGCAAATACGGGCATGACCCCAACTTTTAGAAGGGAAGGATGTCAAGGCAGTATTCCAGATATCACACATCGGAAAGAATAGCAAGTAAGTTAAACCAATGGAGAGTCTTAGAGGACTACATAGGGAGTGACCACCAATACCAAGAAGCTTATTGGAAGTAATTGATATTGCACTTCCTTTGCATATGGCAAACGCCAAAGTATACAATGACAGCAGCATTTAGACCACTGTGTTTGCTGGATACCACAAGAAAACTCTAAAACTGATTTTTTTATCGATCATTTATTGCAATAATTTTATTTACTTCCGTGAGATTTCTGTCCATTCATCAAACTGAAATTAATCATAAAATAATTAAATGAAATAAAACATTAGAAATAATGTTTGAGTTTCGTCTTATTGGATCATAGACTAACACAGGAACTGTAGAACGGCATAAAATCATAGAAGGGTTGAGTTCGCTCTGCCAAAACTATTGTACACCACGTTTATCAACGCTTGTGAAAGAGACACCAGAATTCCAAATCTTGTTATGAGGAAATTCTGTATATGAACTCTATGTAATGATCAATCAGTCTACAATTGCTTGAAAATATTCCCTAAAAGATGTAATAATTTTTTTTGTTAAACCTAGTTTATATAAAATAATTAAAAATCTCTATTTATGTTTATTTGTTACATTTACTGATGTTACTTTTATTTGCCAGTGCTAGATGATATATAGATATTACACTCTTCACAATGTATACATATAAGATATAATATAATGTATATAATGTCTACATTTTTCTTTACTTTGTTTAATTGGTTGAGATAAAATAAAGATAAGTTAATATATTAGCAAATAATATTTAAATTTTTTTTTCTGAATCTGCAATTTACACAATTCGAATCCTCGATATATCAAAAATGTCATTATTCCTACCGGTGTCTCGAATTATAGAGGTACAATTTTATTTATACAATATATTTTATATTTTACATTATGTTTTTATTAAATTTATGTTATAGAAATAATATAATATATTATTATTATTTATGTTATAATATATTTTATATTATATTATATTTATCCAACTAATTTTTATATAGACGGCTAAAGCCATGTCTTTAAGAGAGAGAGATATATTTCTTATTTAATTTTACTCTTTAACTAAATATAAGTTCAGATGTAATTACATATATTACGTATACAATTGTACTTGTATTTAGATTTATATTGTAAAATTTAAAATAATTATTTTCATTTATAATAGAATTTTTAATTATTTAAAAATAATTAATTACTGATTAGATTTTTATGCTTTTCTATTTCATGCTAGCTAATCTTGAATTTTTGAATATTAATATTTATCAAATTTTGAATGATAGAAAAATTATTTTTGCAAAACATATACGAAAGAAAAGCAAAACTGAACTAATTCAACTTAATATAATTTTGAAAGCTGCGGAGATACATTTCGCACAACTTAATATTTTCTAACAACTGGAAGTGAGTTTCATCAACAACATCATAAACAAGTATAATATTCCATCCAGGTTCGTACAGTTCATAATAACCTTCCGACTTTTGTCCTATGGGCTTATATTCAATGTGAGTGTGATCAGGGGAACGGCGCATCCATCTTTTTGATTGCAGTTGGTACCGCCAACATCGATTGTACAATTCTAGAGCAGCCTTAACTTGCCAAATTTTGTACGGATATTCATAAAACACATTGAATAGGTCATCATCTGTCAAGCTAGCTGGAGTAACCATCAGCTGTGTTATATCCGACAGATTGGAATCAAGTTCTTGATTCGAAAGTAAATTAGGCTGAAGTGTATTAGCATAAGACTGAGATTGTGGTACAGTATCGGTCGCATTCCTGTCATACATTAATGGGTCATTAATATTTACGTGGGTTCCCTGTTGATCACCACCACGTACACCTGTCCAATTTTTATTTGTTGTTGATGAATTTCTTTCTCCATTGCAGCTATAAGTTTGATAACCTAGAAAATTTTCAATAAGTTAAAAAATTTTGAAACTTCTCTTCTTAAAATTTACTTACTATTTGAATTTTCTATAACGCCCGCCTCAGGACTTACACCAGCATTATTATAATTAGTGGTCGAACCTTGAGTTGCTATTAAACGTATAAATATAGTTCGTATTATTATTTAGTTTATATTAATTTGTATTACCTGTGTTATGTCCCAGCATTGCATTGGGTATATGACGATTATTAGTAGCCAAATTCTGTATTGGTTGGGTATAACCAAAGTTAAGTGGTGTACCACCTTGAGCTTGATTTTGAACTATTAAGTTTTGTTGGTTATTTATTGATTGGCAAGACGAATCAATATGCGAAGCGTTTACATTGAGTCCATCATACCGCTGTGTTTTGTTTTGAGTTGGTGTTAAATTATGCAATGGAACTAAACCAGGAACTAAGCCAGAATTATTGCGTTGAATCGCAAGTGCTTGATTTTGTAAAAAACCAGAAACAGAAGTGTTAGATAAAGGTTTCTTTCCGCTTGGCTGATTAGAGGCAAGGAATTTATTAGAAAGATAAGATTCCTGCACAGAGTCATTATTTTGAATATCTCGATTGCCACTGTATGGAATATTATTTACACGATTTTGTCCAAAACGAATGTTTTCATGGAACTTATTAGCATCCTTAGAAGGATTTGCATTTTGCAAGTTGTGAGTGTAAATATATAAACCTTGAACATTTTGAGTGTTTCCTCCTATTTCCGAATATGTATGAGGTGTTTGTTTGAAGTTTACATTATTATCAAAATGATTTTGTGCATTGGCATTTAATAAAGCATTTTTGGTACTTGGCAAGTTGGTATTTGGTAAGTTGTAATGGCCTTGGTATCGTCCATGGACTGGCATTCGAGTATCATTATATAGTGTGTCTTGCTCTGGTACTGGTACATGTAAATGATTATTAAATTGACTTTGTTCCAATGCCAAACTTTCAGGCATAGCATAATTTTTATACTGCAACTGTTCGTTCATTAAATTTTGTAATACCGTGTTAGAAGACGACGGAATATTATCAAAATCACTTTGCTGTGACATTACGTTGGGTGGAACTCCAGATATATGATTTTGTTCATCCGAAGTATGTCTATATTCATTTGGATGGTCCGCTGCATACAAATGTACGGCATAATGTGGTGATGGAGTTTTGCGATAACGATTCTGATGGAAATATTGTTGTGGTGTAAATGAATTACATGCGGAATGATTAAATTCTGCATTTCGATGATTGTTAAAGTGATGATGTTTTGACACATCATACCGCGACACTTCACCTGGTTCATAAAAATGACCAAAATTCATCTTTTCTGTTGCACAATGCGCTGATGGCATATCTACGAAACGGTTTTGATTTGGTGTATAATATTTTGGAATTTGCCAAACAGCTGGGTTGGAATGGCGTCTATTAGAAGAGTAACTGAAACGATTACGATCGAAGTTATAATTCTGTTGCATTTTGCGCGATTTCGAAAAAACTCTAGAACGAATTTGATTATTAGGGAAATTTTCTTCCAAAGTATTACGTTGCATTGACATATCTTGATTATTCATGACATAATATGGAGGTGAGTGATTCTGTCCAGTAGTAAAATGTTTAAACGATTTCGGTGATCGTTGTGTATTGGCGGAGTGTAAATATTCACCATCAGCATTTGATGATCCCGGTGCATAAGATTGTTGTGACATATCATATCCATCCTTTTTGGGACTTTTGGGACCACTATTTTTAGATACATAAGGATTTGAATTTATATATTTATTTTGATTTTGCAAATAGTTCTTATGATTATTAGGGGTTTTTGGAAAGTCCAACTTTCTATTAGCATTTAGTTGAATTTTACGTGATGTTGGGGTGCTATACAATTGATTTTCATTGTCCACAATATTTTGTGGCATAGGAGTACTCAAATTGCTGACATAACTATCCTTAGACGTAACATTTTCTGAGTTGAAGAAATTAGTACCAGATTCATTAGAATTTCTATTATGGTTTGGTTCTCTTAGATATTGATATTGTGGTATCAGCTGACGAGGTGAAAAGCTTCCAAAACTTATTTCTTCCATAGGAACGTGTGTATCTGCTGCGTTTTGTGTAAAAGTTTCATTCGAAGAACGATTTAGATCAACCATATCAGTTCGTGGTACATTAGAAACTGAGCTATTCCTAGCAAAGTTACGATGTGATAATATATTAGATTTAAGGCCCAAATTTAAATTAATGTTTGAATTAATTAAAATCAAAGGACCACAGTCTTTATCTGTTATCGAATTTTGTGCCCTTGCATTAGTACTATCCGATAAATTTACATTATCAACCGATGCACTGAAAACATCTTGATCATTTAGATTATCTTCCGTTAGCGTCACTGGAAAATCACCAAAACGAAAAGGTCCGCTGAGATAATTTGATGGCTCTACAGAAGCTGAAGTGTCGCCTAAACTAGTACCGCAACTTTCAACTATTTGAGAATTTGGCATTATCACTGGTGGTACTTGTTTGGGTACTTGTTTCAGTACTTGTTGCGGCCTGACGTTTGCATTTGATTTATTTTTCAGTTTTCCTTTGGAATTTTTAATCTTAATCATTTTGAAAATGATACTAAAATTAAATATAAAACAAAAAATGTTAAATTTTACTGTACTATTTCATACAAAAAATTTTTTTAAAAATCTGTTATTAGGTTTATGTGTATGATTGCATTATTTAGTATTCAGTATCTCAACGTGAGGCGTATACCATAAAGAGGGGTATTGTCATAGTCAAGAGGGGCAATATAATATTACATGTAAGTTAAGATTGTCGACTTTGTAATAACCAGAAGTTCTCGCCGTTTACAAAGATTAAAAACTTTTACACAAGCAAAAAAAAGATTACATCTATTAGTGAAATATTTTTTTTTTTGTTAAAATTGAGTTTAAAAACTAAATTTAACAGCAGAACATATTCTGTGTCACTGTTATAGTCTCACCAGACTCAGAGTTCGGCACTTATCAACTGTCAATCCACTTATAATGGAATTAGGCAACATTTCGACAATCGACTAAAGTGGGTTTGTCACAATACCCATCAAGGCATGCGGTGACGTGGTGATAAGTTCCCAACCCTTTAAAAATCTAATCTCATCTAATATTAAAATATATGCTTGAGAGGACATATATCTTATATCCAAGTATATAAACACATAAGTAAAATATAAATATAAATTTTATGTTTAGTGAGGTACCATATTTTTATTTTTTTTATTAAAAAATAAATTAAATAAAACAAATAAATTGAATTAGAAGAGCGAAATAAAATCTAATAATTTTTTCTTTCTAATTAAATCTAATTAATTTTCAAATTAATTATTTCTATATTTTAAAGTAAATATAATAGTTTAGAGCAGCAAACGGTGTGGAGATGAGAACTACCATTTTCAAATACTTTCACCGGAGCTTTATTAGTCTGCATATTGAATGTCGATATTAGCATAATTTTTTTCGTTGTAGATTAAAATAAAAATATATTATTTGTTAGTATTTACCTTTAATTTTCTTTAAATTTATTTGAAATTTTATTTTTTGAATTTTTCCCAATTTAAAACTGTAAAAAACTTGACTTCAAATGCGGGCATTAATTCGAATGTGATAACTTTAATATCGAAATAAAAATGATTTAATTATTGATATTATTAGAGAAAAAAAAAATTTTTTTTGACATAAAATTTTTTTAACTGGCATGCTTAGAAAAACTATTTTTTATCAACTAGACCTATATGTTAAGTAATTATATGGTTATTAGGTTGCCGTGATATCTTGTTTTATAGTAAAGGATGTATGGAAAACTTAAATTCTTGATCAACACTGACTGTATGTTTCAATGCACATATAATAATGTCATCCATATTGAATTGTATATATAACATATGAACGTTTAAATTATATTATGTGATCTATAACGTTGTTTTAACGTTTTTTAGTTCACTAGGTATTAAGTCTATTTTCTCATTTCTCTTTCCCATGATTACTGGAATGAAGTTTCCACATTGCTGTGGAAATCTTCTTCATTCATTCCTAAGAGGTGGTTTTAGTGGGTTCAAGTCTCACACTGTGGCTTTCGATGCTTTCCCCCTACTGCAAAAAAAAAAAAAGTTGTTTTAACCACAGTTGTTTTAACCGACCGGTGAGGCTCATGTAACAGCCAAGGTGGAGAACATAGGACAGTGACCTGCAGTAATATTTAGTAATGAAAAGACGGCCTATGAAGTTTTTTGATAGTAAAGATATAGGCTTTCTATTTACAGATTTTCGATTCTGTATACTTTTGTATTACAGTTAAGCGGAGGTATTGAAATTAAATTCATGTTCTGATAATCTTTTTTAGCTGACATTAATTATGATATAAGAGTGTAAGATAAGATAATTTTAATATATCTGGTAAAGTATTTTGAAATTAATAGTTTTTTTATATGACTTGATTTGATTCGATAAATGTATTTATAAAAACTCTAAATGAATTTATGATCTACTAATACTTCTACAATAAATGTTAGAATACTCTAAAAATGTTTGATTGGGCAGATAATATTAGCAGATCTAGAGTAGATTGAGGTTAAATCCAGATTTGACAATCAAAAACGCCATAAATTGAAACCAACCGTCTTTGAAATTGTCGGAGTTATGCAGAACACATCTGATAAAGCAGATTTGTTGCATCTCAAACATTTTCGAATATTTGTAGTGTTCGAAACAAATGTTCGAATTGATATGAGTTTAAACCGCTCGAGCAATAACATGCTCGAAAGTTTTGAAGTAATAGTTTGCTCTAATTAATTTTGTTACTTACTAATTTTATATATATAAGTCGCTTAATCATCTCTCTATTAGATATTTAAGTTAGTATATTTTAATCTAAGTTTTTTTGTATTTTTTGTTATATTATTATTGAATTTTAAGAAAACGTCTATTATGTGGAAATTGCAAAGTACGAATATTGTCGTGGTGAAGTAGCCGAACAAAGCTCATACTTATGCTTCATATAATTTTAAGTAGAAATTTGTAAAAATTATATATTTTTTTAATAGTTCACTTTATGTTATTCTTTGTGCCTTAATCTAAGCATAGTAAAAAATTATATTAGAAAATTTTTCGTCTTAGTGTAACATCAGTCATGTGAAAATTTAGGTTTATGCACGCTTCACCAATTATCAAATAATCATGTGCCTTTTTTGACCCTTATTTGCCTAAGTGAACAAGAGTTCCTCAGTGTTTTAAGCACAACCTTGGCCTAAAATATTTAACTTAGAGTTTACGGCTAAATCAAAGTTATAATAAGGCTAAAGTCAAGCAATAATTGTATGGTTTAGAACAAACAAAAAAAAAAAAAATAAAAAACCTAGGAATACAAAACCGAAAAGTAAAATGTCCTGAGGTCATAATACAGAATTCCATTTATTTACGTAATCGAGTATATATATACGAGTATATCGACCGAGGAGCAATGCATTAATGTATTTAATACTCGAATGCCTGGAAATAAATTTGGTTTCCTTTTTGCTCACACAAGCAATTAAAAAAGCCCTTTGTCAAAAACATTGCTAACTAAGCTGGCTTCACTATTTATTGATTTAAACCAATGCTTGATAAAGAAATTATGGTTATATTTTTAAAATTATTCTATAATTACATCAAATTTATGAATTTTCAGACACAACAAAAACGTCAACTGGTTTTTAAAGTATTTCTGACTTATAAACTAAGTCCACCGATTCTATACTAGAACAGTGTTCTTTAAGCGCTTGAAGTTTTCGACTCGACTTGACTACATACGACATATGAGTCCCACAAGTACATACTACATATAAGTCCCATAACTACATACGATATATAAGTCCTAAGACTACATACGATATATGAGTCTCATGAATACATATGATATATAAATCACACGACTACATACTATATATGACTCCCATGACTACATATGTTATATAAATCACATGACTACATACGATATATGAGCTCCACAACTACACACGCCATTTGAGTTCCACGACTGCATGTGACATATGAGTCCCACGACTACTTATGACATATGAGTCCCATGACTACATACGACATATGAGTCCCACAACTACATATAACTTATGAGTTCAACGACTACATACGACATATAAGTTCCACAGCTACATACGACACATGAGTTCCACAACTAAATACAATATATGAGTCCCACATTCGGGCTGAAATCCTATTCAGATTTGTTAAGTAATAAAAAGTAAATGTATGTTTAAAATAAGATTCAATATTTTGTCAATATTGGTAAATGTAAATTTAAATTAAATTATATTAAATTTAAATGTGCATTTAAGTACAGTAAGTCTTTTAACTCTAATACCACGTTGTGAACGTAAATTAGTTCCTGCAGTTTATATTATCAAGTAGGCAGGTTGTAGTAACTTCTTGACAAAAACTTTGATTCCGTAGTAAATACATTTCGTGCAATACAATACAGGGGTCATGATTCACATAATCAATTATCTGAGCACACTAAAGATAAAACTGTAAAGGTATTTGAAAAAACTGGATCTGGACATTATGCTGTCCGTTTAAAGACCAACAACTTAATAAAACACAATTTGATTAAAGTGGAACGCATCACAGAAATTTTTATGGTTTGACGATCTTGTGCCAGTTATGCGCCAGCTATCAAAAACTACCTCGAAAGGATTCAGTACTGTAAGATACCTTGTGGAGGACATTTGAATGATACTGAAATTTAAATCTAATGACCACATAATAACATATAATGATATATGTGCTTTTAATTTAATTTATTTTCAAATAAGAATTTTTAAATACTTCATTTAGAAATTTATTTACAATAAATAAATTTAATTCTGAAAATTGTTATAAAGATTTTTAACCAAGTTTTTAGAAAAATGTTTGAAATATCAAACGAAAGACTGTTTAAAAATTTTTTTCTGTTTTGGCACAAAAGTCATTCAAAATAAATTGTATCATATGTGATTCGTGGTAGAAAGCTGTTTTGTTCAATTTATTTTATGGTGAAATTAAAAACAGCTGTTAATCGTTACCACATGTAAATCAAGAATTGAATTTTAAAACAAATTTGACGGAAAACCACAAGATGGCTTATTGGTAGGAGATCTAAGATATCTCAACAAAACAAACTTATAATATATAAACAAGACTTCAAGGCTATATAGCTCTATGGCATTAAAATTTGGGATTACGCAGAAAATCATACAATAGGTATGATACAAAGGATCCAACACAAAACACTTAGGGATGCAGCAGTTAACGCTCTGTGATATGAGCAAAAGGTTGACCTACATTGTGACCTTGAAATACCTACTATCAGTCAAAAAATACAGATGGCTATAGAAGACTGAGTCAACATTTAACACTATTACGGCGGTACTTTGCGATGTTAAACACAGACGCGTAAGTCGCTTCATACCAAAGGACCTTTTGAAGCGCTTCAACCAGCAAGGAGATTACTTGCTCAGATCTATATGCTCACTTTAGATAAGTAATATTACTTATAATATTAAATTAAAAAAGTTCTTGTTGTTAAACAAAAAAAAGTGACCTTTGAGTCACAACCTGGTTTGATGTGGAATATATGTGCAAAATAAGAGTGGAACCTAATTATTGAAAAATGTCGTTGACAACAGAAGTCAAAAGGTTAAATAATATTTTATAAACAAATAAACATATGACAATATATATTGTTAAATACTTTCATTTGTGATCAGTGCTGTGTCAGCAATAAAAGTTCAGACTATTGTTTACTTAAATACAGCTCTTGTTTCAAATCATTACTCTACGATTGGTAATACAGACAGAGGCTAGACGTTTCGTTGGTTTGGTTTGGTTTAAAAAATTAAGTATAAATAATGAATTTTTTTTCTACAAATAGTTGATTAAAAAGAACAAAATCAAGCCATTTTTAAGTTGTATAATAGAATAAAAGTGATTCGCATATATTAATGTTATACGAAGAGATTCAGAATATTTGAAAATGTTCAATCCATCAGAATAAATGCACAGTTGTTTACTTACTTCAACATACTTGTTGCTTCAGCATATCGTATGGTATCTGATGCCGCGGTGTTGATCATCAGTTGTACCAAAGAAAGGAGAATAAAGTGACTAATGCTGCATCAAGAAATCACAACACTAAATGATCTAGAAGTAAGACGACTGATCCAACAACTGTGACAAACAAGGATGTGATGCAAAAAAAAAAAAATAGAAAAATGGACAGCAAAATTAATCCCAGATGTAACGAAATGGTTAGATAGAAAAATTGGCAAAGTTAACTATTATCTACTAACCCAATTCCTATATAGTCATGGATATTTTCAAAAATAACTTTTTCGCATCCGCAAAGCAAATGATCCGAAATGCATATATGGGAATACAGACGAAGACAAAACTGAAGACGCCATCTAAAAATGCAACGGATGGAATACTGAAAGAAGATCACTTGAAACAATAGTCGGTGAATATATTACAACGAAAATAATGCTATCTGAAGAAAACTGAAGCGCCATCAACCAATTCGTGGCGATCATACTCAAACGGAAAAAATATATTCTCGAAAATGATTGATGTAATGAAGAAAATTTTTAATGAATAACCAATACAGGGACGCTAACTTGAAGTATTCCCTATAAAGATCCGCGGTAGAAACGGTTTGGCACATGAGGTGGTTTGTTTTTAGTCCGTGCAAACCGGTCATATCACTATTGTGGCGGCATAGTATCTATGCGTTAGGCTTTTTAAATCATCTCTCCCCACAAAAAAAAAAATATTGTCCGTTATTATTATAACGGACATATATATAAGTCCTTCTTAAGAAGTGCTCACTGCATACTAAATTCATTGATTTATTGATGACCAATCGAATGAATGAATCTATTGTTTTCAGATATATGTAAATATATATGGTATATAACTTGAGCGTATTATTTATTAATTACTTGAAGTGAAGATTTTTAGTTATGCTGTTTGCATACACAATGAATAGTAAGTGAGAATCTTTTAAAAGTATTCATTCTCTTAAATTTTTAAATTTTCTGGTAAGTACATTTATGAGAACTTTTGTCTTTTATAGGAAGGAAGGAAAATAAAAAGTAAATTCAATGAATAATAAAATAGTTTAAAAAAATATTCTATCCACAGCGACAACATCGCTAATGGAACATAAACAATATAAAGTTGTTGTTCATTATAAAAGCACACTTGCAGTGCGAATATAATGACAAAGGCTCCTCCATTCTCCAACGGATGCGTCCTTATTGTAATGAAAATAAAAACGTTGAGCTGATATTGCTCTTTGGTGGTTCTGAACTCACATGGCTGTTACCGTTTTTGTGGCAGGAATGCAGTATGAAGGCAGTTCTGCCACTACAGATTTCTCATTGCATATTTACTGGCATTGGCGCATTCAAGTGATTGTTTTGCGTTCATTGGGGAATGGAAATATGTGAACATGGGCGTAGCATTGAGCTTATAAGTAAGTTTATGGTACACACATTGACAGTTTTCATTGCTTACATTAAGTCTTAATTTTTTTTTTTTTTTTTTTTTTTTTGAAAGAAATTCGAGATACGAATTTCATTTTATTTTTCGTGATATTTTGGTCCCGTAATTGCACTTTTTTATTTTTATTTTATGAACATTTACTGCTTTTACTGTAAAGTTTACGTGCTTAATTCGTTGAAAAAAAGTGAAAATATTTTAGTTGCATTTAACCAAGCGTTACAAAATATTTAAGTGCACTCTTTTATTCTGTTTCACTTAATGATTTCAAATGAAATAAAAGAAACGCAGCCATTTTCCCTCCGTACTAGCATATATATCTTCCCTATATAATACATACGCAATTTTTTACATTTCTTCCAGAATTGAGATATCGGACAGTTTTTTTCAATTTCACAATTCATAATCTTAAACTATTGAATTCGGTTATGTTATACAAAAGAACGGATCACAATAGTAACAAAATTAATAGCTATTAAACTTCACCTAAATGAAGAGAGAAAATGGCGAAAAAAAACTTAAAGAAAAAGGATAAACACCTTATCCTGTTCCAGTTCTAATTTCAACTATTTCCTTAGAGTCATTGTTTCCTTGCTTATTTGGCCATAAGAATCTGTTTCAGGGATCCGGCCTGACGCAGCATGTTTCTCCAGGCGTATTTGCTTCGTGTGCGCCTTCTCTAGTCTCATATATCAAGTTCGGCTTCAAACACCTTTTTCACTGGAGCATTATCATCCATTCTCACGACATGACCAAACCAGCGAAGGCGCTGGATATTAATTCGAACTTAAGTGTAGTTTACCCTACGCCTTATTTCTTCAACTACCGTTTCACACACATTTTTCACTTGAGCGTCGTCATTCTCACTACATGTCTAAGCCAGCGAATTCGCACAGGCTTATTATATTATTTATTCTTATATTATTTATATAAGAAGTATTATCTTACGCGAATTCGCCCTTAGAGTTAATAAGAGAAGAATGAATCAAAATCATATATTACTTATTCTTATATCATTTATATAAGAAGAACTATTCAACGCCTTTTTTCTTTAACTACCGTTTCAAAAACTTTTTTGGAGCGTCGTAATTCTCACAACATGACAAAGCCAACGAATTCGCCCTTAGAGTTAACAAGAGAAGAATTAATCTCAAAATCATATATTATTTATTCTTATATTATTTATATAAGTATTATCCTACCTTATTTCTTCAACTACCGCTTCAAATACTTTTTTCACTTGAGCGTCGTAATTCTCACAACATGACTAAGACAGCGAATTCACCCTTAGAGTTAATAAGAGAAGAATGAATCAAAATAATATATTATTTATTCTTATATTATTTATATAAGAAGAATTACATTTTTGTTAGAATTATCAACGGTTGACGTGTACTAGAAAACAGGTTGTCTTCTTTATTGTTTACTAACGTACCAGAGAACTGCAACGTGTTATAATTTTAACACTCAGAGTGCACTCATAAAAAACCAAATCAAAATGCGTATAAATGTTTTTTTCACATACTACTTATATGCAATCATATTCGCCACAGAAATGATTCATAAGTTAACGATTGCCGGTGCTAATGAATCAGCTTCACCAGAATGCGTACATATTTCTAAGCAGAGTAACATAAATGGCAAATGATTCATGAATCGTAGCATATACTCGGGTGAGTATGAATATACTCATCGAAAATAAATGACTCTCGAATGATTTGTAGCACTCGTAAAATTTTTGTGTGAAAGGTGTTAGTTGCTAAGCAAAAAACTTGCGTGTGTTTAGTGTTATGGTTTTGGTTTGTATTGTTGTTGTTGTTAGCATTTTAAATGCATGTGTTTTGTTTGTGTTCTTGAATATTTCATGTGCATAAAATTAGTACATCTTAGTTTGCACAGCAAACAACAACAAGCAAATTTTTCCGAGTGTGATATAATACTCATAAATGATTCATAAATCATTTGCATCACTGTTGTGTCTAATGTCGGTGTTTCTATGAGTATTATATGAGCAGAGTATAAATCATTTTAAGTACTGTCAGCTGTATGTATGAATCGGGTGGAGTCGAATATACCAAAAAGTCGAGTGAGAATGCTCATAAGATGAAACACGGATAGTAATTCGAGTATGATTCAAGTGTTGAGTACTCATTGCAGTTCTCTGTTATGTACTAAATAATAAGTTGTCATTAGTGATAAGCAATGATAAATATCCAAATAATATTAACTTATTGAAAATTTTATTTCAATAATTTTATTTTTTTCATTAATCAAGTTTAATTTCCAAATTGTGAAAATATTTGGAAATTAATTTATATTTTCTTGTATGTTTGCAATATTTTATATTTTACTTTATATTGAAAGATGTTCTGCAAACAATTTGATATTTAACTATAAAAATATAGTTAAATTTTATACATTTTCCTAAAATTTGATATTTTTCCATATATAATTTCTAGCTTATTGTAATAATTAATAATAGTTTATTTTTAATATAGTCAATAGTTCATATTTGTTTAATATTTCAGCTATATTCAAATCCACAGAGATCTATCTGGTTAATTTTTTTCTGTAAATTGAGGACTGAAGAATACATTTAGTTATGACCTAAATCCGAATAAAATCAATTAAAATTAGAAAAAGTTTCTCATACAATAGCATGTAGCTGAAGGATCCGTTTATATGGCAGCTGATTTTGAAGTCAGCATAGAACTGGTCTACTCTTTGTGGCAGTATATCAACTACCTACTTAAACTTATGAATTAACTCTAAATAAAATCTTTTGGAGTTTTAAATAGTTTTTCATGCAATAACATATTTCCGAAAATTTAGTTTATATGGCGGCTATATTTAAATCTTAGCCAATGAGATCTACTTTTTGCGCCATACTCTATATTAGCTATTTAAACTTATGAATTAACTCTAAATAAAATCTATTGGAGTTTTAAACAGTTTTCTAAGCAATATCATGTTTCCGAAAGGTTAGTTTATATGGCGGCTATATCTAAAGCTTAGTCAATGTGATATGCATAATGTAGACTAGCTACTTAAACTTATAAGTGAACTCTAAATAAAATCTATTGGAGTTTTAAACAGTTTTCTAAGCAATATCATGTTTCCGAAAGGTCAGTTTATATGGCGGCTATATCTAAAGCTTAGCCAATGTGATATGCATAATGTAGACTAGCTACTTAAACTTATGAGTGAACTCTAAATAAAATCTATTGGAGTTTTAAAAAGTTTTTTATGCAATAATATGTTTCCGAAAGATCGATTATATGTAAATCGGTACCGAATGGCTAGTATTTTATACCAGAATATAGATTAACTATATATAGCTAAACACCAAAAATTTGAAGACTGATATCATTATAGATATTCATCTAATCATGTTTATCAAGTATATATAAATATTATTTTTGACTTCCATTATTCCTTTCTCTTTTTCTTAATATTTTTAAACAATAAAATAATATAAGTATCATTCAATATAATATTAAAAGTATACAAAAAAAATATATATAAACTAATATGTGAAACTTCCTTGTAAATAATAAATACGATATTACAGCGATTGAATTACCTTAGCGATTTAGCACAAGCTTAAGCAAGTTTAAGTTCAGAAAGAATTCACTAATTTATACAACGTCTAAAAATAAATTTATTACTTTTTTTAAAATATTTTAATTGGTAAAAATTTAAAGTCAAATATTTCAAAAAGCACACTTAATTACATTTTAGATAATTATTCAAAAACTGATAATTTGCCAAGAGAAAGAAACAGACTGATATCAATATAGCTATTCATCTCATCATATTTGTCAAGTATATAAAATTATTTTTGACTTCCTTTATTCCTTTTTCTTTCTCTCTTTTCACCATATATGTGGCAATATAAAACTAATTTGATACTTTTAAACAATAAAATAACAGAAGTACCATTTAATATAAAAAGTTTATATTTTTTATATATTTTTATATACATATATATATATATAATATATATATATAATATATATATAATATATATATATAATATATATACGTATACATATATGTATAAATACATATATTATATATATATTTTTTATATATATTAACTAATATCCAAAGATTCTTCGTAAATGATAAATACGATATTACAGCTATTGAATTACCTTAGCGATTTAGCACAAGCTTAAGCAAGTTTAAGTTCAGAAAGAATTCACTAATTTATACACCGTCTAAAAATAAAATTATTACTTTTTTTAAAATATTTTAATTGGTAAAAATTTAAAGTCAAATATTTCAAAAAGCACACTCAATTACATTTTAGATAATTATTCAAAAACTGACAATTTGCCAAGAGAAAGAAACAGACTGATATCAATATAGCTATTCATCTCATCATATTTGTCAAGTATGTAAAATTATTTTTGACTTCCTTTATTCCTTTCTCTTTCTCTCTTTTCACCATATATGTGGCAATATAAAACTAATTTGATACTTTTAAACAATAAAATAATATAAGTACCATTTAATATAAAAAGTTTATATTTTTTATATATTTTTATATACATATATATATATATATTTATATATATTATATTATATCTATATATATATATATATAAATACATATAATATATATATATTTTTTATATATATTAACTAATATCCAAAAATTCTTCGTAAATGATAAATACGATATTACAGCGATTGAATTACCTTAGCGATTTAGTACAAGCTTAAGCAAGTTTAAGTTCAGAAAGAATTCACTAATTTATACACCGTCTAAAAATAAAATTATTACTTTTTTTAAAATATTTTAATTGGTAAAAATTTAAAGTCAAATATTTCAAAAAGCACACTCAATTACATTTTAGATAATTATTCAAAAACTGACAATTTGCCAAGAGAAAGAAACAGACTGATATCAATATAGCTATTCATCTCATCATATTTGTCAAGTATATAAAATTATTTTTGACTTCCTTTATTCCTTTTTCTTTCTCTCTTTTCACCATATATATGTGGCAATATAAAACTCATTTGATACTTTTAAACAATAAAATAATATAAGTACCATTTAATATAAAAAGTTTATATTTTTTATATATTTTTATATACATATATATATATATAATAAATATACATATATGTAAATATATATAATATATATATATTTTTTATATATATTAACTAATATGTGAAAATTCCTCGTAAATGATAAATACGATATTACAGCGATTGAATTACCTCAGCGATTTAGCACAAGCTTAAGCACGTATAAGTTCAGAATGAATTCACACTAATTTGTATAATGTCTAAAAAATCACATAAAATAATTGAAAGAATTATTTTTATTAAAAAAAGTTTTTTTTTGTGAAATGTCAAAATTTTTAAATTCAAAAATTTTAATAACCGTACTATTATATGATTATTTAAAATCTGTAAAAGTATATGAATAAAAACAGACAGACGGACGGACATCAATAGTTTATGTGTCCCAACATGTTTATCAAGAAAATTAGATTTAGTTTTTTTCTATCTTCCTCATTCCCCTTCCTGTTCTATCTTTGCGTAATAAAACGAAAAATATGTTATTTAAAAGAAATGTTTTGTTTTAAAAAAATGTTATATTTTCCTATGCAGTATTAAATCCAAAGTGGATCCAAATCTACCATATGGATCCTTTGGCGACATAGTAATGTTTGCAGTAAATAACTAAATCAATGTTTTAAAAAAACAAGAAATGTTTATAAATACAAAAAATTAAAATAATTTCTATTATGGATAGATCTAAAAATACGATATTACAGCATTCATTAATTACCTTAGCACAATAAACACAAAATAAATTTAAAAAGAATTCACACTATTTCCTGCAACGATTATTACTTTTATTATTTTTATTATTAAAATGTTTAATGTTTGATATTTGTTTGATATTTGAAATTTCAAAAAGCAATGCTACCTAATAAGATTTAATTAAACACGTCAATTCAAGTTATCGATAACAATACTGAATCCCATTGCGTGAAATTATATCGAAAAAGTTGCAACGAAGCAGAAGCGAAAAGGGAAAGCGTCTACGCAAATTTAAGCCCGCCATTATTTTTTTGCTGACATCGATTCAAAATAAAATATTTATTTTGTAAATGCAGTCATCAAAAATTTTATAAAATGTATAAAATTTTTACAAAAATGTGTTTAATTCATTTTTTATCATCTTAAAGTATTCTTACAAAGACTCTTACAAGCAAAAAAAATGTTAAGACAATAAACTTAGAATTCAATAGAATTGAAAAAACATCTTGCAAAATTTTTGTATACATTTTAAACAAATAAATAAAATGTTTTTAATGCAATAAATATACTTTCAATAATATTGATAAGATGATGAAATATATTTTTATATATTGATGTCAATATATAAACATTTTTCCCCTTTTTATAAGCGCCAATATTGTTCAATGTCAAAAACAAAATTATTTTATTTTTAGAAAAAACCTCTTTGTAAATATATTTTATTAAATTATTATTAATTATTTAATATATAAGTATAAAAATCCAATAAGTTATTAATTTTCATGACTTACCCATATCTGTCCCTCTGGCATTTATAACTTAACGAATATGAGACGCGAGTTTAATGAGCGCTTATAAGAATACACAGAACCGCACTTCCTCACTCCGGGACCTAACAAATACAAATGACAATTATTTCATAAGATACGCATAAATCAACACTAAATGAAAACATAGGATGAGTACGACAAAAAAAATAATTGCGGCTACCAACTAAAACCCATAGGGTATATAAATTTATTAATAAAACTTATTATTAATATGTTATGAATGCAAATATATGAATTTCTAGTTTCTTACTATTATTTATTTTTCTCTTTGTATTTTTAAAAATATTTAGTGCAAGTAGTGCATGTGCAGAAAGCTGGCTCTATTATATTGAAATATTCACAATGCTCAACTGAAACTTTTCCTAGAATGTTTTGTTGTTTTCTACACATAATCTGTTTTGTACTGAGTGGCTTTCTTGGCAGTAAATAGCAAAAAAATTCTTTATAATTACAATGCAGTTCCTGACACGATTACACTTTTCTGAACGTTGCAGCTTGACAAGGTATTTTAATTAAATCGGTTTTTCTGCATAATTTTTCTACTCTGCTATATATGTATTTGTATAATTTGATTCTTATGACGTTTTTATTTGATAAATTTGAAGTCTTTTTCACAATGGAAATGCTCTTTTAACGCACTTTAAATGCACTTTTAATGCACTTTGGGTGCAATGTTAGGTCTCTTCCACGAGCTACTTGTAGTAAAATTTAATTTTAAAATTTGTTCTGAAGTAGATCTTAAATTTAACGCCAAAACAATACATATGACCTTAACATACACCACATTGTCAAAAAAAAAAAATCATTATTATATCGTTCATTTAAGTAATTCGAGTGTTCTCGTATCTATGCCAGTAAAAGCTTGTAAAAGAGAATAGTAGATAAAAGGTGTGTTGCTCGAACTACTCGTAGTAAAACTCAAGTAATACACATGTAAAGTATAAACTGAGAGCGTAACACAAATAAAGTATCAAATTACGCTCTTCACACATATTTTCATGGAACAGCTTTGTGTAAAGTCTAAAGAGAACACCAGTGCCACGCAAATAAACAATACAAAAATTTATATTCAAACAAAAACAGCTGATTTACACATCACACAAACTTTACTTGAAATAAAATATACGAGTGAAGTCTGTGTAGCATTTTCAAATTTCGACAGAGATGTTACGCTCTCTCAGATGCTCTCATTTACTCGAACATTTGCTAGTGGAACGCACTTGTGTATACATAGTGTTACTCGGAGTTACTACAAGTATCTCGTGTACAGACCTTTTCGATTGGTCGATTGGGACAATATGTATAACACTCGAGATTAATTTATAATACTCTAGATATTTTAAAATTAACAGCTGTTTTATATAACAGCTGTTTCACAAATAAACTATGATTTGATTCGATATATTTATTTATGAAAAATATAAATGTATTTATGATCTATCAAACCACTACAAATATGCTAGATAACTCAAAAAATGTTCGACAGGGTAACTAAATTTGACAGATCCAGAGTAAATTTAGATTGAGTTCAGATTTATCAATCGAAAATGCCATTAGATAAAATAATTGATTAAAAAAGCTTTAAATTTATACATGACAACGAGATGGCGTGGGTAATTGTTATGAATCTTACTTTGTGTAATCAAAATAAAAAATAAAAAACTTAAACGCCAATATCTGTAAAACTCAGTAATATGATTATATAAATTTATTCTTAGTTATTGGAAATAAAAGTTGCAAATTTAACAATTTCACGCTCCATCTACGGCAAATAGATCAAAATAAAAATGTACAACTTTAAATGCCAATATCTACACAACTTAGCTGCATCGGCATAAAACATGATCAAAAATTTATCCCAGACCCATATCCTTCTTCTACTTCATTCCGTTGCGTTCCCAGGGGAACATTGGTTACAGTTGTACCTAACGAAAAGATATTGTTTAAACGTAAGTTTCGCACCTCTAAATCTGTTGTGCATGCAGTAGGTGCATTCGCCGTATATGTACGGGCACCACTTGGAGACTGTAATTTTATAAGGTTTAGACTCATGTTTTATTTCCAGAAAAAAGTTACTGAAGAAGGAAGCAAAGCTCTGAAGATGGGTTACAAGCGCAATGACAGTCCTGTAAGCTTTGCACGTAATGATAGGTCACTTTTAAATAGGCTGTTCCTAATCTGAAGAACATATGTCTTTTGCAGCCGCTAATTATGAGTACCGATGCTACGATGTGGACTGCGCTTAGCTTCATTACACCTCATTTGACCTTACCGGCAAGAGAGATCCTACCAGTAGCGCATGCTACCGCTTGCATCGTTCGAAGATTCTACGTAATTACTGAGCGTCCTCACCACGTCAAGGTGGCAGTCCCCGAGGAGTGTCAGACCCATATACTTAAAAATTAATATAATCAAAGTTTATAGTTACTTTTTTATATCCAAGCTAAGAGTTTAGCTTGTTGTTATTATTAACTATTACTAATTATTTCGTACTTCAGCAAGTTTGTTTGAATTCTTGCGTTTTTAAGATAAATTTCTACATATTTCGGTTTATTATTTTAATGATAAGGCATCTAAATTATAATTCCACTTTGTGCATAATTAAGTATTATTTTTCTGTTTGACCGTGAAATGGTAATAAAATTATTAATCGTTTTTTAGTAAACAATAAAAGATAGCATTTAAATCGATTCGTCAAGATATTTTAAATTTATAAAAATATCTTATAAAATTTAATTAAAAGTTTAATGATTTATTTATAATATTTAAACATTTTATTTGTCTGAAATATTTTTATTATAAATTTTAATAATACTATTAGTATTAATAAAATTAAAAAAATTTTAAATAAGTTTGAGTGGAACAAACTATTACAATATTTCAACTTATTATTTATATAGAATATTATTTGTTTATAATTTTTTATTGCCATTATCTGACTCAGATTTTGATTAGTCGTATAACATATATGTACCTATGTACAGCGTTTTATAAACAAAAGAAAAAGTACAATTCGGAATATATATCTACAATTTCAGAATTTATATAAATAATTTACGACCTTTTTTGAAACTTGTTCAATATATTGTATTGTATAGCGAACAATTTAAAGACTATGATTAATCTAAGTCTATGATTGTCTATGACTATGATTGTTTCATTTTTAGGTGTCTAATTATAACATAGTTTTTAAAAAAATTAATTAAAGATAGAATTCTTACAAATGTCTATTAACATTACTTGTTTTTAAAAAAATTAATTAAATATAGTCTTTTAAGCAATTTCTTAATATATATTTTAATACATATAACAATTCGTTTACAAAACATATTAATATATATTAATTATATGAAGTATAATAAGATAACGTACTTTTACTCGTTCACTTTGCTGCGGTGAATTGCAATTTAATTAATTATTAAATTTTTATTATATAAATATTAATTTAGTTTCTTTTTTTGTCGATTAAAACTCGACAAATAATTTTTAAAAAGATTATTACATTTCATTTCAATAATTTCAAATCAAAATTACTTTTAATTAGTTAATGTATAAATATTAAATATAAAAAAACAAAATTTTTAAAATAAATAAATAAAAAAAACACTTTTGTTTTAACAATATTTCTTAGCAAACTGACTCTCGTCAATAGTTGTAATCTGTGTGTATATCTTAAATGTGTCTGGTGAAAAGAAGTCATATTCGCCGGTGAACATAGTATTCTCAATACAGTACCTACGGACATCCAGCGAGCGGCGAGCCCAAAGCTTTAATACCTTATGAAAACGCCATTGTCTTTCATATAATTCTTTAGCCGCAAGCAATTGATATTGATCCAATGGATTTGTGTAAAATATATAAAACAAAGTATGCAATAGCAAATTTTTAAATTTTAAAGGTTTTAATTTGTTTTTGACATCTCCAGACAATTTGTACTCTTTAGGGAGGTAAATTGGAGTGTCATCAACACCGTAAATATCATCTAAGGCCCCACGAAAGGTGTCTAGCAAATTGCCAGGACAATTCAAATCAAGACCCATGCGTGTAAGGTCCAAGCCTTTGCATAGCATCGTCTGATCAGGGTCGGTATTTGTTATCATTGATGCTAATGCAAGCAGACCAAATTGATCATCTAGCACTTTTTTTGCTGGCTTCGCCTGTTCAGGCATTTCATTTGATGAGCTTTCTTTTTCCTTGGTAGCGTCTGATGAAATCGGCTTATCTAATGTTGACGGCATTTTAGCGTTAGAAGATTTTGTTTTGGGCATCGCTTCATCAAGATCGGTATTCCTTATCATTGATGCTAATGCAAACAGACCAAATTGATCATCTAGGAATCTTTTTGCTGGCTTTGCTTGTTCAGGTATTTCATTTGATGAGCTTTCTTGTTCCTTGGTATCGACTGATAAAATCGGCTTATCAAATGTTTTGACTGATGTTAGACACATTTCTTTTTTCCCTGGCTTATTTATTTCAGGCATTTCATTTGATGAGCTTTCTTTTTCCTCGATGTCGATTGATAAAATCGGCTTATCTAATAATAGTGGGTTTTCTTTATCAGCGGCGATCTTAAGCGAATGTGATAAATCGGGGAAGTCTTCTGAGCGCATATTAAAACGTTGTGGTGTTGTTCTTAAGCGAAAACTATCCGACGAATTGGGATGAGCATCCGCAGCGTTAGTTAGAACTTCACTATAATTCTTGGACGTTTTGGAGCCATTGTAAGCTGCAGTCGGTGAATTTTCAACAAAAAATAATTTATGCAGCTGGTTTTTATCCATGTCAAATCGAACTTTCTTTTTCGATTGATTTTTGTTTTGTTGGATATTACTCTTCTTGGGTAACATATCGAAACTTTCAACTGCAAATTAAAATCAGAAATAATTATCATAAATATAATATATGATATTAATATCGATCAGAATGTTTAATTATTACCTTGCGTTCTATAAATTTTAAATAAAAAAAACTATAAGGACGCGATTATGTGCAACAAAACTTATCACAGCAAAAACCACGCGAATGCAAAGGCGAATGCCAACGGAACTAGCGTTGAAAGCGTGTGAATCACAGTTTCCGCGGCGAATTCAACCATTATTTTTTAAAGTTACACACAGGATGTCTTGTGTTGAACACAAATTGTCCTAAAAAATTTTTTATAATTATTAAGGAACTAAATAAGATTTATTAATTACAAATAGTTTACCAACAAATACTTGTAAATAAAAACCAATAAGTGAGATGTGTAGCTTTCAATATTTTTTTTAATAAAATTGCTGAGAGTTATGAATGATATATATAAAAATATATACAAACAGCTGATAAATTAAAAGCAATTATACATGAAAATATTTAGGAAAATAAGACAGATATAGTTGATAATTACATGAAAAGTGATTTTAATTTTATTTGCTAGTTTTTTAAACTAATTGAACGAATTTAATTAAGTCCGTGTGCGAGTTCACGTAAATTGAGATAAAGTAAATTGAAAATTTTTGGGTATTTTTTGCACTGCACTTACATAAATATTTATTTATTAATTTATTGAACTTATTTTTTATTTTTGGTTAAAATTTTTGAAATTTACTTATTAAACATCTTATAAAATTTTCATAATGGTAATGCCTAATTTACCTAATTTTTATCTAATTTACCCTATTCGAAATTCTGGTAAATGCGAACATGCGCTGCCATACCGACATAATTTACTATTTTCCTCAATTTACCATCTATTTACCATTTACTTGAACTCGCACACGGCACACATTTAATATAAAATTTTAACAATTCAATGCATTTCCTAACATATTAGAGTATTTCATCTACTGTTCTCCTCTACAAGTTTTTACTGGCATATGTAGGTACGGGAACACTCAAATTACGCAAATGAACAATTTTTTGTTGCCACGATTAATTTTTTAATATTTTACTTGAATTAACAAAGTTGAATAATATTGAGATTTAACTAAAATATTATTAGAATTACCAATTTAATGTATGTATATAAATTTCTTTAGTTTCATTCCTGAATATTTGTATTGACTATGCAATAACGTATGTTTTCTACGATATGATAATTCTCATTGCAATGAGGTATATGTGCAAGTCGTACATATGTATATACATATATACATATTTTTAAGTTTGCGACCAGCTGATACTCAAACCCCGAAAAGTATTTTAAGGTGTTTATACATTGTTTGAAACCATATACATATTTTTATAAGAATCTAAAATAAATGAAATATTGTAGGTTAGGTCAGGTTATACCGGCGATTCCACATTAGCAAGACTTTGGCAATATTTTTCCATACATTCTCACTTTCGAGCATAAAAACCTTGCCAAATTCTAATCAGTTTAGATGCCGTATTTATTATTTTTTATGCAAAAGGCATATGTTTCAATACAATATACTATCGAAAAGCCTTGATGTACTTGAACATCACTAAAACCATCACTTAGGAACGCAAAATGGAAAAATTTCAGCCATTGGATCGTCAAGAATAAGAGGTGGAATTACATACCAGTTATTAAGGCAAAAGCAGACATTAGAATACAGTTGGCTTAGTATTAAGGCAAATAATACTTTTAAGCGTTACGTAAAGCCCTCAATGGTTTGAGTGTCCGTTATGGTTTGAGTGCCAGCTATCAGCTGATAGCGCTTAAGTTTTACTTTTAGGTGTCAAAATTTGCATACAAACCTTTTTGATTTCAACTTGTTTGGGTTTTTTAATCAAAAATATTTCGAAATGACACCTGAAACTACAATCAAAACTCTCGTGTGAATGCAGTATTAGGCTAGAGAATAAATGCAGCTACTGTAATATCATAATACCATTTCGATTAGCTTAGGTTATTATGATATGACACATCGCATGTGTATTGTGACTATATTGAGACTATATTATACAGACGATCAACTGATTGTTGATCATCATCGACGACTATTTGATAGTCTGCACATCACATTGAAAAGGTTTTAATAACATGTAACACATATTTTAGACATGAGAGGGTTCGAAATTTGTTATGGAATGCGGAAATCCTGTACAACTACTCGATGGGGGTCATATAACGAGCTAATTTCTTGCTCTCATAAAATTGCTATGGTCAGCAATTAAAATTTCATCAAAAAAGTCAGAGTGGAGAATATATTCCGTATCGGAGTATATATACATTGCTAAATTACGTATATGTTATAACGAAGGTGGATTAAGAATTTTCTCAGGTTCATAATAAAAAGTATAAAAACAGGTTCTTAAATATTATTAAATTTTTTTTAATAAAATTTTATTTTTTATTTATTCCTTTTTTTTGATTTTAGTGATGATTGCTTTTAATTCTCTTCAAGGTTGTTCTTTAAACTCTGTTTACCACTTCCAATCAACTTTTATCTTACTCAAAGCAAATTATATTTTTGGTAGGAAATCGTAAGAGACACTTAATATTCTGAACGACCACAGCAACATCGTAGTCCGAAATAGAACTCAGCTTCGTGAATAGACAAAAAAGAAATAGAAAAATTAGTTTTATGCCTTGAGTTAAATCGTTTGTATCAATTCAAAGGACAAGCATCTCTTCATTTTTTCCCAGCCACAGGAAAACAAAAGCGGCAGAGGATGCAAATTGCAAAAAGTACAATTATTTGTAAGCTGCCCTTGTGGTCGACTTCTCCACTTCTCCACTTCTCCACTTTTTTTAAAGGGTACTCAATGACAACGAAAGTTCTCACTGAATGTTATGTAAATAAAGTTTTGTGTAGTATCATTGGATTTGGTACAATGGTCTTTAGCTTTCACTAAAATATAAAATAATGTATTGTTTCATATTATATGGCGGCAAATGGCGGTATTTCTGGAAATATTATTAATTATTTTAACATATTGCAAATCTAAAAATATTACTGTCAAATAATAAAGATAGAGAGTTTGTCTTTAGTTGTAGGAATATATACACATCTAATATGGGTAAGGACATGGTGTTATTGGACTGTATCCAGGGCATACAGAATTTTTGTTGTTTCTCAATTAGTTTAACGATGCCTCATGTGACGATTAAAAAAAAAAGTAGGGGATTTACCTCTAATGACTCTCTACCTCTATACAACTGTCATTGAATGAATCCTATAAGGGGCTGCCTTTTGATGGCAAGCAATTGAAAAGGCGTGCTGCACAAAACTATAAGAATGGCTGCCTTGAAAATCACATTAACGGAGGCTCTTTTTGCTCTGCTTCATTGGCTGCGCTCTCTCAAGTTCTGGTAAAACAGCAAGCTAAATTAGTAGTAACCAGAGTCAACGCTCTCTACCACTGGTCCAGAATTGACATAGGGCACGCGATCATACTGAAACAGAATTTGCCAGTCCAAGTCTCAATTGACTACATTTACTCTAACCCAGATATCGATTTGAGGTTAGACTTACTTATACCTAGTAGGGAAGACTGAACTTTAGACAAAGGGATTTTTCTTCACACGATACATATATATACAAAAGCAAGATGAACGCGTCAATTGTGTCATATTTTCCAATAAACTTGGTCTTAGGCAGAAGTAATGACTATCCACTATGCAGTAAAATAGGTCCTTGGTATCCAGAGTCCAGAGCCTTGGTATATAAATTTCATGTTATTACGGTAAACGAACAGTCAAGCTGCTTGTAGTGTTCCTGTTAGAAACTGGCATAACTCTAATAACTTGAGAATACCGAGCTTCTCATAACGAGCTAGCTAGGCGTATCATTGTTCACCTCACATTGGTTCATGGACAAAGGCACATCTCAGGCAACTGCAGGGCGAATGAGTTTGTCAAGCCATACATTTTACTTTCTTACATTTATTTCTCTGATTTTAGTGTCCCATTTGCAACATTCAAACTAGCAATTAAACAAAAATTGTTAAGCATAACTAAGCAAAATTTGATGGATGAATTAGATCACAAGTATGATCTAGTCCAAACTGGACAAAAACTATACTAATCAGCTGGTTAAAGTAAGGTGTAACCTGCTTAGCACTACGGTATCGATTCTGATACGTCTCAGTATGCTAGAAAGACATGTTATGAAACTGGGTCTACTCTACAATAAATTTTGTCGTCAATATGGCTCTCGTACTGCTAGCCTATGATAGATAATGACATATAAAGTTGAGCACAGTTTCCTTCTCATTCGCAACTATGCTCAACTTTATGTCTCAGTGTCCATCGTTGGCTAGAAGAAGACCTATATTCTTCGGCGCCCATTTTCTTACCGATCTAACCGAGCTGTCATTCTGCATAATTAGGGACTTAGCCAAGTTTATAGAAACGTCACGTCGGTTTACTTTTATATAAATGTTGGGGTGGTGACCTCTAGTCTGCGTTTGCACAATGTTAGTCCGTGGTGCTACGACAGACCGTTATTTAAGCTCAAGTGGGCAGAAAGGCGCCACTTCACCGCAGGCTAATTTGATTATTAAGAAAACTCTCAGATCCTCATAGTGAAGCGGCATATAATGTTGAGACTTAAGTTTATTGCAATGTTTCGTAGTTTGCTATAATTCACTTACTAACGGCAATCAAATATTTCAAATTCCATACTTTAATTGTATGCTTTTTAAGTCTCATAACGAACTTGACTTTTGGTATATTTCAGTTCACTCGAATTAAGTAAAAAATAGTATCTTGCCAGTTGCAATAAACGATAACACTTGCTACTTCGCCAACGCAAGCAAACAGCCACTAATGAAATAACACCAAATATGTAGCACTTTAGGAATATTTCCAGTGGCGTACACATGCAATCCAGACTAAGCCAAGTGGTACAGCAATCACAAAAACTTTACGTGAATTACTGAAAAAAAAAAAAAAAAAAAAAGGAGAAAAAGTAAGTAATAACAACGAAGCAACTATGCAACTCTACTAGTACCAGTTCCAGTACTCGTACCAACCGCAGTACCAGTGGCAGTACCAGCATTGGTTCCAGAACCAATACCAATAGCATAACAAACGTAGTAAGAGCAGTTGAAGTACTGCCCATAGCAACAACTCAGTACGTTTAAATCGAAAACTTATTCCTACAATCTAGCAGATATGTGGAACAAAAAGGATCGTTATCGAACTGAAGTGATTTGTAATGAAAAGAAATCGTAAACAAAATGA